CTTCAAAAAAATTTCTCAGCTCTCTAGTGCCCCAGACCTGAAGCAATTTTGCCACAGCAATGAGGGATGGCGGGAAACAAAAACTGGGAGACAGGGAAAATGTTCCTCTTCAATCACGGGACTTATGATCCCCAGCGGTAAATCCCATGACTTTTTTCTCTTTTTGGATTTTGATTGCTTAGTTCAGACATAAGCACAGTCAAATCAAGTGTGTACGAATGTGGGAATAAACAAAGCCTGGGGACCCAGCACTACTGAGATGACAACGAAGCAGAAATTTGGGAAAGCAACTCTTTAAAGTTGTTTATGAACTCTTGGGTTTACCTCTGAGCTGTACATGTATGAATTTGATCCTAAAAAGATTCCAGAGGCTTTGCGTAGTGAAATATGGGACAGACTACTGTTCAGGTCCCAGACTGGCCACTAGGTGGTACCCATATGAGACAGAACCACATAGAGTTGACCTTGGACCCACAATGCACAGGAATCTCAGGGAACCTGGAACTTCTGGTCTGAGCCCAATTGGGGCAAGTGCCTTCTAAAACAAAAACAACATGTACCATAAGTTTAAACAACTACAGTCCCAAAACATAATCTCCAAAATGTTTAGGAATACAAGCTAAATTTACTCAGCATACCAAAAAACCCCCAAACACCCCCCCACCCCAAACCAGACATTTCAATAGCAATACTGAAATGAAACTGATATTGAAATTACCTGACAAAGACTTCAAAGAAGGTACTATAAGTATTTTACAACAGAAGAGGACACTCTTGAAAAACAGAGAGTCTCAGCAAAGAAACAGAAAAAAATGAAGAAGAATCAAGTGAAAATGTTAGAAATTTAAAAAAAAAAAATCAACAACAAAAATAAAAACTCCCTGGATGGGTTCAGTAACAAAACAGAGCTGACAGAGGAAATAGTAAATTTATAAATGATTAATAGAAATGATCTAATTGGGACAATCGATGATAAAAGACTGAGAAAGTGAACAGAACTGTAATGATCATGCGGCACGTGGGTGGCACAGCTGGTTAAGCACAGGACTCTTGGTTTTGGCTCAGGTCGTAATCTCAGGGTTGTGAGATCGAGCCCTGATTCGGGCTCTGCATTCTGTGCAATCTGATTTTTCTATCTGCCCCTCCCTCTTCTATCTCTCTAAAGTAAATAAATCTTTTTTTTTTTTTAAGAACTGTTGTGATCTGAGGACAATAATGAATTCTAAGACTCATATCATCTGAGTCCCAGAAGGAGAAGAGAAAAACACAGAGTAGAAAAATCTTTAAATATGACTGACAGCCTGTTTATTACTAGAAGGCAATCAATATAATCTGTTTTACTGGCAGTTTAAAGAAGGAAAAAAACCCCGCTTAATCATATCAATTGACATGGAAAATGCATTTGAAAAACTTAACACATATTCATGATAAATCTCTCAACAAAATAGGAAAGGACTCTCCTCCACCTTATAAAGAACATCTACAAAAACCTATAGCTATTCTACATAATGGTGAAAGACTGATGGGGGGACTGCTCTCACCCTAAGATCTAGAACAAGGGAAGGATGCTCTCTTTCCCCACTACCATTCAACTTTTTCCTGGATGTTCTAGCCAGTGCAATAAGTCAAGAAAAATAAATACAAGGCACACACATTGGAAAGGAAGAAATAAAACTATCTTTATTCAGAGACAACATGATTTTCTACACACACACACACACACACACACACATACACACACGCATGCATGAGGGTATACACATACATGTATACTTTAGGACAATGATTGAGCTTAGCAAGATTGTAGGATACAAGGGCAACACACAAAAATCAATTGTATTTCTCGATACTAACAATGAACAAAGACAAACTGAAATTTAAAAAAAAGATAGCATTTACAATAACACAAGAAAACCTTATACAGAAATCTAACAAACATGTATAGGATTTATATGCTAAAAACTACAAAATGCTGATGAAATAATTCAGAGATGTCCTACATAAATGGAAAGTATGCCTACACCGATTTCATGGATTGTAAGGCAAAACATAGGATTCATTTATAGATTTAACAAAATTCCAATCACAATCCCGGCAGGAAATTCTATAGAGAGACATATGTTGAGCCTCAAATGTATATGGAAAGGCAAAGGAAAGAGAGTCGTTGAAACACTTTTGAAAAAGAAAAATAAGGTTAGAAGAATCATGCTGACTTTGACTCACCACGAAGCTGTACTTATCGAGATGGAGAAATACTGTCAGAGGAACAGATGTATTGATCAATGGAACAGAATCAGAATCAAGAAGTAGCTTCCTGCAGATATGCTGAGTTGGTTTTGACAAATGTGCAAAGCAACTCAGTGGAGGAAGGATAATTTCAACAAATGGTGTTGAAACAATTTGGTTCCCATATGGATACAAATGAATTCTGCCCCAGATGTTCTACAAAAATCCACTCAAAATAAGTCAGAGATCTAAGGTATAAAACTTTCAAGAGACCACCTTGGAGAAAATCTTCACGACTTAGGGTCATGCAAAGGCTCTTAAACATGTCACCCGAAACATGATCCGTACAAGAAAAAAATGATGAATTAGACTTCATCAAGATTAAAAACTTCTGCTCTGAAAAGGGCACCTGCAGGAGGATAAGAAGTCAAGACAGAGACCAGAGGAGAGAATATTTGCAGATCCCATCTCTGACAAGTGATTTATTCTCAGAATAAATAAAAGAACTCTCAAAATTCTACTACAAGAAATCAAATAACTCCATTTAGAAATAGGCAAAAGAATTGAGTGAACATTTCACCAAAGAGAAGATACGGATGGAGAATAATAACAAAACATTTAACATCATCAGTCAGTGGGGAGATGAAAACCAAAGTGATGGAGAAATATCATTCCACACCTAGGAGAATGGAGAAAATAATAAAAAGGGAAAGAAACACCAAGTGCTGATGGGGATGTGGAGCAGCTGGGACTCTCTTATGTTGCTGGTGGAAATGCAAAACGGTTCAGCGCTCTGGAAAACAGTTTGGCAGTTTCTAATAAAGCGAAATGTACAGTTACCGTATAAACCAGCGAGTCCCATTCTTGTATGTGCACCGTGGAAAAATTTAAATGATGTTCACAGAAACCCCCGTTGTCCAATACACATTTAAGAGCAGCTCTAGTCGTACCTACCCCAAACTAGCAGCCACTGAAACGCCCTTGCATAGGTAACTGGAGAACCCAGCTGTCGTCCATCTTGAGGACGGGTCGCACTTGGCAATAGAGAGGAACAAACTATGGACAGGCACGACTTGGGCGAATCTCAAAATAATGATGCTGAGTGAACTGAAGCCAGTCTCAAAAGGTTAGGTTCTGTATGACTCCATTTAGATGGCAGTCTTGAAAAAGAGCGAATGTGACGGGAGACAGAAAGCGGCTGCCAGCAGACAGGGTGGGAGACGGGACGACCCAACACAGCAGGAGGGCAGATGGCAGGGGTGTGGGCGACGAGGTGGTTCTGTGTCTTAGAGTGATAGTAATAACATAGACCTATGCATCATTCTTAGAACTGTACCCCCAAAGGTCAGTTTTTTTTGGTATTTTCATTTAAAAAATAAAATTAAGGAAGAAAAGAGCTGGCAACTTTGGTTTCCTGCTGAAGGCTATCCAGACATTTGGAGCAACGTCAGCATCAGTTACAAGGACTGAAGTGACAATCGGGGTCGTCACTGACTGCTTTTGCAGCCTGGGATGACCGCGAGTCACCCCAGCAAGCATTTGACATCACAGCTTCCAATGCGCACAATCATCCTGGAAGATGGGTTAGGGTTAGGCTCAATATACTGGAAAAAATGAGATTAAGGGAAGAAAACAGTCTGCCCTGTGTGGCAGAGCATGTAAGTGGCTGGGTCTGGATTTGGCCCTGTCTCTCTGCACAGCTGCTCACTTCAGGGAGGAAGAGCAGCGGGACTCTCAGGGAGGGGATCGACAATCAAGGGAGATGGGGGGAGAATCGCACTTTGATTTATGTACACCACAAACATTTGCTACCCATTTTTATTCTGCACCCTGAGTTTCTTTGAAATTCTGGGAGCTTCAGGGAAAGTTAAAAATGACACTGGCTACCGCCCTACTGGCATTTTCTCAGTACCCTCGAAGAGGTGGTTCTTAATTTTCAATGGGATTTCAGCAGTTACTTCCATCTTTCATACAAACATGTACTAACCCACACATGCAAACGTGTACTAACCCACATTGCCCCCTAAGTGAATTAAGGGATAATTGTGACTTAGGATATTTAACCAAGAATTAGCTAATTCCATAAACAGCAGTTTATACATTGGAAGCCAAGAGAAATCATTCAAAAGCTCTCTCACGTTTGTCTGTTCGGAGAAGTTACGACAGGCTCTTCCCACCTCTTATCTCTACTGCACCACACACAGGCACACAAAGAGATTTTAAAAATACACAAAGTAAATCCATTTTGGAGCCTGAGACAGAAACTGCACATTTCCCATGGAACAAATGATATCTACACTTAAGGTTTAAGGAGGAATTCGGCCTTCTTGCGTATGAATTATTATCATCTATTTATTGGCTACAATGTGGTTTTTCTTCACCAAAAACTTTGGCCTGAAGTATTTTTGTCTCAGTCACGATAGAGATAAGAAATGTTCAGGTCTCCAACAAAAGTGTTCTCTTCAATGTTCTACTATTTCTGCTGTTATATATTTCCTTTAAAAAAGTAATTTCTGATAAATTTTGACTATCTTTAAACTTTAATGGAAAGCCAAGCCAATAATGCCTACTGCACTTTGACTGTACAGAGCTGAATAATCGATTCCATACTCAAAATAAAGCCAAGATTAACAAAAATTTCATCAACGTTTTTTTCTCTTTATGAGCCCAGTACCACTGTCAGGTAACAACAGCCTTCTTATCTTTTTTTCCCCCACCGGTTAGAAGGTCGTTACACCCAGGAGAATGGCGGGAGGAAGACCAGGCCAGCTTACCTTCCAGCAGGTCTCTGGCCAGACCAGGTTCTGCCCCCGTGGACCGAACAAAGTCTGACAGGACTGCGTCCATATCAAGAGTCATAGGATCATGTAGACGGGCTGCCCAACACTCAGCTGAGGTGGGGTTTGCAAGCAGGCTAGAAACCATCCATCTGCAAGAAAGGACAAAGAAGCCACAGGGATGTAAGCAGGGATGTAGGAGGCAAAAGTGCCCGCAAGTGACCACATATGCAGAGAATGGAGAGCCAAAACCATTTCTGCCCGTGTGGGACAAATGCCCCATTCTGAATAAAAATCAAACCCAAGAATCACCCCCCTGGGAGCTCCATGGGATCCCAGGGGGCATTACCAGTTCCAGCGCTTCTGACCCTACATTTTGTCCATTCCAATGACAGTCTGTCCAAAGACAGACTTGCAATTGCAGTACTAGACATTTACCCAAAGGATATAAACATAGTGATTCAAAGGGGCATCTGCACCCCAAAGTGTATAGCAGAGATGTCCACAACAGCTAAACTGTGGAAAGAGCCCAGATGTCTCTTGACAGATGAATGGAGAAAGAAGATGTGGTGTAGATCTACAATGGAATATTACTCAGCCATCAAAAGGATGAAATCTTACCATTTGCAATGATGTGGATGGAACTATTATGCTAAGTAAAATAAAGTAATCACACAAAGACAAACACCATGTGATTTCACTCATATGTGGAATTTAAGAAACAAGACAGATGAATATAGGGGATGGAAGGGAAAAATAAAATAAGATGAAATCAGAGAGGAGGTAAACCATGAGAGACTCTTAACTATAGAAAACAAACTGAGGGCTGCTGGAGAGGTTGTGGGTGGGGGGCTGGGGTAACTGGGTGATGGGCATGAAGAAGGGCCTTTGATGCAATGAACAATGGGTGTTACATACAACTGATGAATCCCTGGTTCCTACCTCTGACTAATAATATAGAATATGTTAATTAAATTGAATTTAAATAAGAAAATTTTTAAAAAGAAGACAGACTAGATTGTTTTTAAAAAATCAAACACCTTTGTATACATTGATTAATTTGGGGTTACTAGATTTCCAATATTCTTCCAAGTTAACGAAGCACACAACACTTCCACAATGTAATTGCGTTGCTGACTACATCCCAATTATGGCTTTATCAGTGAGCCAACCCACTCCCTCGGTTCTCACCCCCCACTTGGCTCTTAGAAAAGAGTCCACACAATCCAGAGTCGACTGAAGTCGCTGTCTGTCATCTCTCCAAGGATCGTCATAGTCACAGACACAATCCAACAAAATTCAAAAAGATGTGAGATTTCCCAGGTAGAACAAGTCCCGGTTAGAAAGATACAAGAGGCATCCTGTAGCTTGACCACAGAACGCACCTGCCAATTTTGCTGGAGGAAAGCAACCCGCACCTGGCCTGGGAGGCTCATACCTGGGAACCAGTGCTGGGTCACCAGTGGATACTTGGTCAGGGCTGACAAAATGGAAATGCCTCCCTAGATCTGCATACGTAAGGGCTGGGCAAACGATGGCCCGTGGGTCAAGTGGGAGCTACCATCTGTGTTTGTACATAAAGTGGTAGTGGAACATAGTTACATCGACTCATTCACATGTTGTCTCTGGTTGCTTTGGCACACGGCTAAGGTGAGCAGTTAAAACAGAGACCACAAGGCCCACTGAAGTAAAAACATGAATGAGCTGGACCATTAGGGGAAGTTTGCTGAGCCCACTGCAGATTTTATCCAGATCTGAAAGCCCACGGAAAATGTTATACCTGTATAAAGTAAGCATCTCATTAAGCATGTAATTAATTTTACTTGCTGTGGGCTTAAGTCCCATGCTACTGATGAATGCCCCTGTTTCTTCTTCCCAGGTGACCACTCGGATGCTCTGCTTGGGGAACAGATTCTCTGACAGGTGCTCCTATTTCAGAGTCAGGCTCGCTGGCCTACTCTGACCCACCACTCTGACAAGCTGGGACATGCCGTCTAACCTCTCAGATCCTCTCTCTGCATTTGTAAGCCTGGCGGAAATAAGTCTATCTAAGGTTCCAGACCATGGGGATGGGGGATCAGGCAGGGAGGTGTGCGACCTCAGAGATGTTCACTGTTTTTTACGCCATCTTGCACGTGGCTCTTACTTGGGTGGAATTTTTGGTTGGTGTTGCTAGAAAGTAAGAAAATTATTGGACCTGATGTATATGGTACCAATTAGGAGATTGCCTTCTTCCTTCTCCCCGCGGACCAGAGCCTCGACTGGGAGGGTTCTTCTCTTGTCACTCTTCCACCTGGGGGACAAATCAGAGAATAAGAGCATGTTATTCTCCTTATTTGCAGGCAGAAGCTGAAGGCTTGAAGGCTCTGCTTCTTGTCACATGAGGCTGCATTTGAGGCCAACTGTTTGTGGTGTGCCACTGCTCTCCTGAGCCCTACGGGCACCTGCTGACTGGCCCACCATCCGCATGGGCCCACCCCCATATCTGACTGGCCCACCATCCGCATGGGCCCACACAACCATATGGGTGGTTACTGCAAGGGAGGGGGGTCCCCAGCGTTCCTTGTTTTAGCAAGTATCTATATTTCAATGAGTATCCTGTTCACAATACAGAGCTATTTAATTTATTTTGTATTTTTTTTTTATTTTAAAAAAATATTTATTTTAGAGAGAGAAGGAGACAGAGAGCAAGAGCACGGGAGCGAGAGACAGAGAGAGAAGGACAGGGAATCTCGAGTAGACTCCTAGATGAGCACAGAGCCTGATGTGAGGCTCGATCTCACCACCCTGAGATCATGACTGAGATCAAGAGTCAGACACTGAACAGTCTGAGCCACCTAGCTGCGCCTACACAGCTGTTTTTGTTTTTTTAAAGATTTTATTTATCTATTTGACAGACAGAGAGCACAAGTAGGCAGAGAGGCAGGCAGAGAGAGAGGGGGAAGCAGGCTCCCTGCTGAGCAGAGAGCCCGATGCGGGGCTCAATCCCAGGACCCTGGGATCATGACCTGAGCCGAAGGTGGAGGCTTCAACCCATTGAGCCACCCAGGAGCCCCTACAGAGCTGTTTAAAACCTTACTACAATCACCATATGAATACATTGAATCTTAGTTATTTTTTTTTATTGTGAAAACATACACATAACATGAAATTTACCATTTTAACCTTTTTGAAGTGTACACGTCAGTGGCATTGACATTTACATTGCTGTGCAAATGTCCCCACCATTATTTCCAGAACTGTTTCATCTTCCCCAACCAAAGCTCTGTCCCCATTAAACACTCACGTTCATTTTTGTCCCCAACCCCAGAACCTGGTCACCACCATCAACTTTGTTTCTGAATCTGGCCATTCTAGGTGTGTTGTATAAGCAAACCATATGGTGTTGTCCTTTCATGACTGGTTTGTTCTGCTTAAGCATAATGACTTCAAGGTTCATCTGTGTTGTAACAGGTATCAGAATTTCCTTCCTTTTTAAGGCTTGACTTGGTCCTTGTGTGCTGTTTTAACATAATACCACAGACCAGGCAGCTTAAACCACAGAAAATGATTTCTCACCATCTGGAGGCTGAGAAGTCCGAGATCAGGGTGTGGGCAGAGCTGGTGTCTGGTAAGGGCCCACTCCTGGCTTGTAGCTTGCCGCCTTGTTGCTTGTCCTCACATGACTGAGAGAATGAGCTCTAGTCTCTTTCTCCTTCTCATAAGGACACTGATCCCATCATGGGGGCTCTATCCACATGATCTAATCTAGACACAATTACCTCCTGAAGACTCCAGCTCCTACTATTCCACATTGAGGGGTAGGGCCTCAACATACGAATTCTGGGGGGACCCCCAGATGCAGTCCACAACAAGGCTGAGTAATATCCATTGCATGGATGTACCACATTCTGTTTATCCATTCATCTGAAGCTGGATGTCTGTGTTGTTTCCACGTTTTGGTATTGGGAGTAACTCAGTCTAAATCACTTTTCCACTTATAGAGGTCACCATGCTGTGACCATGTCAAGCTTTCACCAGCATTAAAGTCCAGGATTGTGTCCACACCTCCTCCTCTGTACCTTGTCCTCCATGTAGAGATCAAAGAATGGGTTTAAAATACAATTTTTTGGGTCACATTCAAATATAAACATTTGCATGGCAAGAAGTTACTCTGCCTATTCCCTCAAAGACTTCTTTTTTAAACCTAATACCCCCACCGCATCCAAGGCCTCATAGTCACGCAGTGTGGTGACAGGGAGGATGGGTCATGGGACTACAGGCTCCTGGCCACCTTGGCCACACTTACCCCACTTTCCCTGCCACCTCTTCAAGCATACCGCTCAACCTTCATGAACCAATGCACGCACATGGCATGGTACTATTGATGTGAGGTTCCGGGGTGGGCCGTGTCCTGGCTCCACCATCTGGCTTATGCCTGTTCATCTTGGCCCTTGGACAGAACTCCTCTGAGGGTCTCACCCTGGGAAGAGCGGTGTGTCAAGCTGTTTTTGCTGTGACTTTGCCTTCAGAGAAGCAGTACATCTGGGTCCTGGAATCAATCTCTTGGTGCCAAAGTGTCCCCATCACCACCGCCTGGATGGCCTCACCTCAGACCCGTGCTCAGTCCCCTCCCTGCATAATACAGTGCTTTGACTAGGTGAGTAAGGACCCTTTATGTTATAACATCCCAGGGTTTGGATGTCTCAAAAAAGAGAGTGGAGCAGAGGTTTCCATTTGCTATGTGACAAGTGATGACAAATGACACTGAGAAATCCCTTCCTCTCTGTTACTTTTACCTGCGTGTGTGTCTGCCACTTTCGGCTCGCAAGCAGCCCTTTGACCCAGACTCACTGGGGGTGGCGTGTCTCCCTGGTTTATGCGGCGGGTAAGGAGCACATTGGAGGAGAGCAATGTTCCCTAAGCGCTTGAGAGATGGCTCTTAACAGGGTATGTGGGGTATGGCCAGTGGCCTGTTATCTTCCTGGGGCCACCTGTGTGGCTTGAGGGAGGGCTGCAGCCTTGGTGCTGGTCACAGACCACCAGGACAGTGGTGACTGTCTGAGAATGAGAGGAGTCACTACACGATCCCAAATACCAAATCCCTGGCAAGGCATTTTCCTGAAAACCATTTCGCTGAACATCCTCTGTAGTGAATAGGTATTCTTACTACTCCTCTTTACTTGTGAGGTTACATAGGTCTGGAGAAGGGGAGAGCTCTCTGGGGGGCACTGCTGGGATAGGCCGGGTCTCCCCATGTTGTTCTCTACCTCTAGCTTCAAGAGTGGTCCATGACCCTTCTTCACCTTCCCTTCAGGGAGCAAGGTGGGGCAGACCATGATCTTGAGAACACAGAAGCCCTTCCCATGACCATCTTGGTGTCCCACAGCAGTCTGGGCTGGCCTGCTCCTCTTTCAGCACCCGGCTCCCTCCCTCCCAGGCGCTGGACTCCCTGAGGCCACCCTCCGTGGAGAGCTTCCTACACACTCCCAAGTATGTTCTCTTGGCTGGCTCTCACTGAGAATGTTCCTCCTGTGGCTCCCATCAGAGTTCTGCCTTCCTGGGACAAGGCTGTGTGCCTCACCCCTGTCCAACCCCCAGCCATGCTCTGTCCCAGCGGTGTCCCCTTAATTCCTATGACAGTGTAAGCTGTCATGCTACCTACCCACAGACTAGAGGAGACAAAAGCCATTGCCACGGGTCTTCCTAAACTGCAGATCTCCGTGGCTCTCTGCAAATGTGTCTCTTTACTGGGCTGTGGCGTGAGTGCATGCACGTGTGCACATGTACACACACCAGAACGCATGTCATATGTGGAGGGCTGGTGGAAGGGCTCATCCCCTTGGGGAATCACCTGAGGCAATTCTGACGGGGGCTGTTCTATGCCACACTTCGGGCAATACTGCCAAAACTGAAATATTGCCAGAATGCACTATCCATACATTTTGTTACACATTAGACTTTTGTTCTCTATGAAATAGGAAGGTTAATATCAAGTTTACAAGCTCCTATAGGTTAAAATAACCAAATGAAGCAAAGAACCATCCACCTTCCTAGAAAGCACTCCACGCATTTATATAAAATACTTATATTTGTTAAGTTAGTTTAATTAAGTATGGGCAGGAGTATATGACTTTGTTCCCTCCCCGCCAAGAGGCTGAGCAGGGAAGAACCCTCCTTAGCTTGGCCACATCCTAAGTGCCAACCTTGACTGGGCTGATGACCGATCTCTCTCAGGCAAGGCAGAGTTTATGAGCAATTAAGTGAATTACATGTCTGTGAAAGTGTTCTGTAAACATTTATGGGCTGTACAGATATTTAAGTTCATCCTCTTGTTACAGGGGGGATCAGAGCCAGGGCCTCTGAAACAGTGATTTTCAAAGCATGTTTCTCAGGCCAGCAACAGCTTCCTCTGGGAACTTGCTAGCAATGCCCATTCCCAGGCCCCACCCCAGAACTGCTGAATCAGAATCTCTATGGGGAGGCCCTGCCAACCGGTTTTACATGTCCTTCGGGGGTTCTGCTGTGTGCTGAGGTCCCAGAGCTACTGCTCTCAGAGATGTGAATTTAGCTTGCTAATGGGCATTTTGGAAAGAGGTAAAAATAATGATACAGCATCAGAACGAACATGGTGGCCTTTTTTCCCCCCTTTATAATTGTCTTCTCCGCTTCTGTTGACTTCTGCCTCCCCATTTCCCTAAAAAAAAATTCATTCCCTTCCTTCTTCAGCTGAAACAAAGAATTGGCCAGATTTTCAGAACTCAGGCCTTGTTTCAACAAACTTCCTGTTCCACCTCCCCCTCACCCTTCGCTGACACCCCTCCAGGACAGTTCTGGCTGCTAGTCCAGGACTGGATGCCCAGCTCCTGCTGAGGCTCTGCCTTCCTTCCCAGTCTTGCTCACAGTCTCCGTTCCCCACTCAGAGTTGTCCTTTCTGGCCACACTAATCCTGTTGCACAGGTTCCTGCAGGGTCCCTGCCTCCTCACACTTAGGGCTACTGCTCTCAGACCTCAGCTCGAGGCCTGCCTCAAGTGCCCTGGCTTGGAATCACGGGGTGTTCATGCTGTATGGGTGTTCATAACTTCAATACCACCTTCTTTCCAGTATCCAAGGTGATGCATTCGTCTATCATTCAAGCAATGAGCATCACTGGGTTGTCCCTCTGTTTAGTTGCTATTCTCATGAGTGTGTAAGACTCAAATGCTGGGCGCCATGAGCTCCTTGGGCTTCCCCAGGAGCTTTCCAGCAGGCAGAGAGAGAGAGATGCAGAAACAGGTGCAGGCCTTAGAGACTGCCAGATTTGGACCATTGTC